TATATAAGATAGAAGAGATTCAAGCTCAAAAAGATACCAAGAAGCAGAAATGGACATTCTATAATGATTAAAGGAATAATAATACATCAGGAAAACATAAAACTCATCAGTATATATACATCAAATGAATGACCATCAAAATATATAACGCAACTATTATTAAATCTGAAATCAGATGTTGGAAACAATACAATAGTAATGAGAGACTACAACACCCTCTTTCACCAATGGATAGATCCATCAGACAGGAAAAAAAAGCAAAAACAAGTGAACAAGGAAACAATATCCTTAAATAAGTAATTAGACCACATGGACTTAAAAGACATTTACTGGACACTATAGTCCCCAAAAGCCCATTGTAGATTCTTCTCAACTGCACACATAGCATTCTCCAGGATAGACCATAGCTGGGTTACAACACAAGTGTTAATAAATTCAAGAAGATCGTATCAAGTTTATACTATGATCACAATGGTATCAAAGTAGAAATCAACCCCAAAATGAAAGCAGAAAAAACCTACAATATATGGAAATTGAACAACACAGTGCTGAAAGACCATCGGATAAATGAGGAAATCAATGAAGAAATTTTAAAATACATGGAGATGAATGCAGATGAAAACAACCTATCAGAACCTACACACATAACAAAAGCAGTACCAAGAAGGGAGTATATAGTGATACAGGCCCACATGAAGAAACAATAACAAGCTCAAATAAACAAGCTTACTTGTCACATTAAGTTACTGGGGGGGGGGGGAATACAAAAAGGCAGGAGTAAGGAAATAATAAAAATCAGTACAGAAATAAACAAAATAGAAATTAAAAAAGACAGTTCAAAGGATCAGTGACACAAAAATAAAAATAGTTCTTTGAAAAAAAGTAACAAAATAGACAAACCTCTAGCTAGATTTACAAGTGGGGGAAAAAAAGAGGAAACACAAATAGAATCAGACATGAAAGAGAAGTTACAACATTTCAGAAATACAGAGGATCAAGAGCTATTACTATGAACATCTATATACCAACAAATTAAATAATCTACATGAAATGGAGACATTCTCAGAAATCTACAACCCTCTCAGAATCAGGAAGAAATAGAAAACCTGACTAGACAAATTACAAACATGGATACTGAAACAGTAATCAAATATTTAGAAAATGGCAAAAACCCTCACCCAGACAGTGTCACTAGTGAGTTCTTCCAGACCTTCAGAGATGAACAAATATACATCCTTATCAAACTCTTCGAATAAAGAGAGGTGTTTTCAAACACATTATATAATGCCAACATCACTCTGACAACAAAACCTAACAAAGATATCACACAAAAAAAGAAAATTACAAAGATGAATTTCCTTGATGAACATAGATGCAAAAGCCCTCAAAAACAAAAACAGCAAACCAAATCCAACAATGTATTAAAAGGATTATACACCACGACCAAGTGGGATTTATAACAAGGACACAGGGATGGTTCAACATCTGAGAATAAATCACTGTATTTCACCATGTGATCATACCCAAAGATACAGCGAACACATTTGATAAAAATTCATCATCCATGTATAATAAGGAAAACTCTCAAAAAAACTGGGGAGAGGTGGAATATACCTCAACATAATAAAGGCCATTTTTAACAAACCCACAGTCAACATCATACTCAATGGTGAGAAATGAAAACTTTGCCTCTAAGATGCGGTACAAGAATGTACACTTTTTTTTTAATAAATTTTATTTTTAACTATAAGAAAGTGAAAATCAAAATCAACAAAAAACTATGAACCAGAGACACTTTTAGGGGGGCAGGGGCGGGAGGGGAGGGATTGGGGTCAGAATGGGGGCGCTGCAATTGTATGGGGAATATAACAATAAAATTTATTATCTAATAAAAAAAATAAATAAATAAACAAATAAATAAATTTTATTTTTATATCCCCCATACAATTGCAACCCCCTTATTTGACCCCAATCCCTCCCCTCCCACCACCCACTCCCTGTAGAGTGTCTCTGGTTCATAGTTTTTTGTTGATTTTGATTTTCACTTTCTTGTAGTTATTCATTTTCCTGGTCCCTTATTTAAGCTTTCTAGATTCCTGCTATGAGTGAGACCATCCGGTATTTTTCTTTTTCTTTCTGGCTTATTTCGCTGAACATGAAGAATGTACACTTTTAATACTACTTTTCAACATATCATTGGAAGTCCTAGCTTAAGCAATTAGGCAAGAGAAATATATAAAAGCAATCAGTATTTGCAGATGACACAAAAATACACAGAAAACCCTAAAGACTCAATTCAAACTGAAAAACTAATTGAAATAAGCCAATACAGTAAAGTGGCAGGGTACAAAATCAATTTGCAGAAATCAGTTGTGTTTCCATATGCAAACAATGAACTAGAAGGGAAAGAAATCAAGAAAAAATCCCACTCAAAATCACAACAAAAATATTAAATACCTAGGAGTAAACTTAACAAAGCAGGTGAAGTACTACAGTGACAACTATAAGACATTGTTAAAAGAAATAGAAGACACAACGAAATGGAAAGATATTCCCTGCTAATGGACTGCGAGAACTAACATAGTTAAAATGGCCATCATACCCAAAGCAATATACAGATTCAGTGTAATCCCTATAAAGGTTTTAATGACACCTTTCAAAGAAATAGAAAAAAATTACTGGAATTCATATGGAATCACAAAAGCCATTGAATAACCAAAACGATCCTGACAAAAACAGAGGAAGTGTGTTGCTATCAAACTCCCAGACTTCAAAGTCTATCTTAATCAAAACTGTATGGTACTACAACAAAAACATATCCACAGATCACTGGAATAAAATTAACAGCCCATTGCCTGGTGGCACAAGGGGTTAAGTGACAGCATTATGAAGCTATCCATAGCCACTGGTGCATGAGTTCAATCCCCGGTCAGGGAGGTGACCGACATGGCGCAGCAGACCTCTCCTGTCTGGTCCGCTGCTCCCCTCAGCAGTGTATTTCAGTAGATCTGCCTGTTCTGTTCCCCACTCTGTCTCTGGTGAATCCTCTCACCCCATTCCCCTATACCTCTGGCCTGTACCCCAGCTCATGTATGTATAAATAAATAAATCTTTAAAAAATAAAATAAAATTGAGAGCCCAGAAATAAATCTATGTAAATCTATGGACAGTTAATCTGGGGAGGGAGGCCAAGACTATACACTGGCGAAAGGAGAGTCTCTTTAACAAAAGTGTTGGGAAAGGGCCTCCCTGATGGCTTAGGGATTAAGTCTCAGCCCTATTTCTGTAGTGGCCCACTGAGATATGCTGAGTTCGATCCCCAGTCAGGGCACTAACCCACATATGACAGGGCAGACCTCTCCTGTCTTACCCACTACTCCTCTTAGCCGTATTTCAGTAGATGCAGCTGCTCTGCTCCCCACTCTGTCTCTGGTAATTCTCTCACCCTGACACCTTTGGCCTGCACCCCAGGTGTTCTATGCATAAATAAATAAAATCTGAAAACTGAAGTGTCTGGAAAGGGGAATAGTCACATTCAAAAAAATCTAACTAGATCATCTCCTGCACTTTACCCAAAAATTAACTCAAAATGAATTAAAGATTTGGATGTAAAATCCCAAACCACATAATAGGTTAAAGGAATCACAGACAAACCACTCCACAACATTGGTTTCAGTGGCATCTTTGTGGATTCATCTACAATGGTAAGTAAATATAAACAAATGAAACTTCATCAAACTATAAATCTTCTGTACCACAAACAAAACCAAAAGACACCTACCTGAATGGGAGAAAATATTGATACATTGTACATCTGACAAAGGGCAGATTGCCAAGATATGTAAAAAACTCACATGACTCCACAATGACCAAATGAAAAAAATGGGCTAAATAGACACTTCTCCAAATACAACACACAAATGACCAATAGGCATATGAGAAAATATTACCATCAAATGCAAATCAAATGCAAATCAAAACCACAATGAGATACTATTTCACACTTGTGAGAATGGCCCCTATTAAAAAGACCAGAAAAAGTGGTGGCAAGGAGGTGGAGAAAAAGGAACAAATTTTGCATCATTGGTGGGTATATTATAGACTGGTCCAGTCCCTATGGAAAACAGTATGGAGGCTTCTCAAAAGATTAAAATTAAATCTACCATATAACCAGCAATTCCACTCCTGGGTATTTACCCCAAAGACTACAAAAACACTAATGCAAAATGGATTAGAAATTTGTGGTATGCATGTACAATGAAATACTATTCAGCTATTAAAATAAACTCCTGCCATTTGCAACAATGTAGATGGGCCTGGACGGGATAATTATAAGTGAAATAAGACAAAAGGAGAAGGACTAATACCAGATGATCCATTTATATGTGGAATAGAGAGAAACAAAGCAAAGTCAAAATTAAACCAATGACAAAAACCCTTAGATATCTGATGCTGAAATTGAGCCTACAAGATGTGGTGGAAGAAGGGGGAATAGAAATGGAATCGAGTAAAGGGCTGAGGTGTGATTCTATGTCTTCGAATCACATACAGTATTGTCTCGATACTATCTTAAATAAATAAATGTATAGGAACACAAAGATAGAAGAAAGGTTATGTCATTGATAGGGAAGGGTTAAATTCTTTAATATATGACCCTGGTTACCACTAGTGACCTCTTTCTAATTGGTAATGATTATTAAATAATACTGAATATGTCACTTTACATTTCTGATGGTCTATTTTTGTCTCAATTTTTTTTCTTGTGCTAGTTGCTAACTGTGAAATGGAGGTGTGCAAAGAGAGAATAAATGTTGGCAATGAAAAATGGAAAAGAAAAAGATACCAGATACCAATTTGTTCAGCGTTTTCTTCATTAGTTCTTTGTTCTTTTGAATTCCAGCATCATAGAAATATAGCAGGATTTTGTTAAGATGAATGAAATTTACATTATAGAACTTACATAATTTAAAAATAAAGTATATAATGATATGTAACACATATTTATTATAATTCAGAATTTACTGATAGGAAGATAGCAAAAATGAACGGAGATTAAAAAACTATATAACAAGTCAATGAAAGTAGAACAAAATGTAAATTAAAATAGAACAGCATTCCCATCCACATTTTATCACCTTTAATTTAGAACTACAAAATTTCAAGTTTGATGACTCCTTAATGATCATGCAATCCAACCAAACATCTGAAGTGAATTATAATTTAGGTGTACATGGGAATTAGTCATTCTGTTTACTCATTTACCAGATCACTTTTATAATATTATGCAATTGTTTATATACATATATATGTAAATTTATATAAATGTCATGACATCCATGCCCTTTTCAGGCCCCCTTTCTGCTTTTACCTCAACCCTTCTCTTCTACCCACATCAACATTGCCTATAACAACTTAACCCATATTAAATCTTTTATATTAATCCTTCCATATGTTTCTCTAGGCTTAAATAATCTCACACAGGCATTAACAAATGTGTATAGAATTTTTCCCCATCTTTTCACTGCTTTACAGAAATGGAATACTTTTTTACACTATATTCAAGAACGCCTTGGTTTATAAAGATTTTATCGAAATCCCACCTGCTATCTAAAAGTTCTATATTTGGCATGCTAGCAGAAAAAATAAACTAATATAGTTTAAAAATATTTTCAAAAGCAAAGTTGGTCAGTCTTTAATCAGGCTTGATAATTTGCACACAGCACTTTTGTCAGTAAGATCTTGATTTTGAAATCATTTTTACAGTTTTGCTTTCTTTTTTCTTTTTTGCTTCTTGTTGTTCCAAGCACTCATCTGTCTACGTGAGTGAATTTACAGATGTTTTTGGAGAAAAGTCTTAGCCAAGATTTGTGCATGTTCTAGGGGATGTGGGCACATACACTGGCAGCCAAAGGAAGGTGTGGAGACAGTGTGATGATGGATCATTGATGGGCATTGGAGCACCCAGGAGAAAGGACCTGAGCTTCCGCCTCACACTAGCACAGCAATTACCCTTTATTAATGTCTCACTCACTAAGACTCTTATCTTGTGTTTTATTTGGTTTGGTGGCACAGGAAAAGCCCACAACAAAGTAGTGAACCTCAAATCTCCCACTCCACGTCTTAGCACTTCTTCCTAGGGCTTCCTTTCCTCTCCCCCATTGCCCAGTGCACAAAGGTCTCATGCCTAGTCCCCATTTAAAAATTAAAAATGTTTCAAAGGCAAAAACCAGAAGGACACATTCACACTAAGATCCGAATGAAACTAACTATATATCTACTTATATAGTTTGCATTTTCCTAGAAACCAAAACCTCATTAAAAAAAAAAAATCAACCATGATATGATTGCCAAGGATAAGAGAAGCATAGGAAGAAGGCCAGCACGGCCTCTCTAGCCCTCTTGAACACACACTTAAGCCTCCATCAGAAAAATGGCCCTGAGAACGCTTTACAAAGAGCTCTGGGCTTAGAGTTGAGAAAATTTGCAGCCATATGCCAGACATAGGAATTTAACAAGTCACTTTGCTTGTTTTCATTTGTAAATGAAGTTCATTTGTAAAATAAAGTTCTTGAACTAAATGACTTAAAGGTCACTTCTAGTTCAAACATGCTAGGATTCTAAGATTAAAATGGCCCTTGTGAATGGGCTATATTATCATATGGACTTTAAAGAGATCTCATGCTTGCCCCAGTACCATAAGGGACTTGTTGACAAGTCCAAAATGGGAAGTCTTTGTTCTGCACCATTTACCTCCCCATTCCTTAAACTCCACTCCCCACCTTTAAGGTAGAAAGCATGACTCAGATAATATTTTAGCACTAGATCCATATATATAGATTATAGATATAGATAGATATATAGGTATGTTTCTCAGTTATGTGAATTCTTGTGAGATTATTCCATTTGTTCTCAACCTTTCTATCTATAAAACCAAACTACACTAATGACAGGGTGATATCCTTTCAATAAGAAAAGCAGGTCATGTCAACTCCTACTCAATTGTGTACTATAGCTTCTCTTCATCTACTGTTGCAAGTGCTAATGGTTACCAACTCAGCAACCATTAGTCTCCTTTTCCCTACTTTCTATCGGAAGCCTAATTTTGTTCTAGTATCCTTTACTTGGCCATGTGCTTCAGAGGAATGGTCCTGTACCATCAAAGGATGAATCAAGATTGGTCTGCGCCAGTCATGGTGGTTGCATTCCCCTTGCCAGTGAATGGTTTAGGATTGGGCATGTGATGCAACATTGCCCACTGAGGCAATAGGATGAGTCTGGTGGGGTATTTCTTAAGAAAGTTTTTCCTCACTGATTAAAAAGACCCTTCTAGACCCTGAAGAGAAGAAATAAATAAATAAACCCCTCTTCTTGTTTAGTCATGTTGCAACCAGAAGAGTAAATCTGAAGATAAACCAGCACACAAAGGATGGCAGAGCAGAAAAATGGAAAGTGCCTCAGTCCTTAATGATAGAGTTAAGCCACTGAATTCAGTTGTCTTGGAACTGCCCTGCCTCTGGGTGTGTGTGTGTGTATATATATATATATAAATATGCAAAAATTTTTTCTTTAGTTTTTATGTCAGTAGGGTTGGGGATTTCTGCTCATTGCAGTTAAACACATACTAATACTTCTATAGTGCAAAACTAACACACTTTAGCTCACAAATCCCTTTATGTATGCTTTAACTGCCTCATCTCAGTCACTGACATGAGACCCTGCCCACCCTACCTTCTGCCTACCATATCCTCCTCCAATTGTCCACCCCGGTAGACACCACTACTCATCCTTCAAGTTCCAACAAAAGCACCTCATTCTTTTTAAAGCTTTCCCCAATCTCCTTGGGCCGACTCTGGTGGCCTATTTTCCCACAGCATTTCTGACACACCTCCATTATGTAGTAGCCATTTGCATGCCTGTCAACCACACTAGACTGTGAACTTCTCGATCAAGGACCACCAGCCCCTGAGCATATGCTTGATACATCAGCACACAATCAATATCTGCTGAATAAATGTAATACTGACTTCACCTTTAGGAAATCTGCTCACCCCTAATTTTTAAAGTTTAATTCCTTTTTATCTTTGGGAACTTGCCCCATAGACTCAAGCACATGGAGTTTGACTAATCAAAATGCCTGAGACCACATAATACCAGTTCCTATCTGAGATTTTTATAGACTTTGAGAGCTGCTTTGGAGTTTGTTATATTTGACAACCTGACACTCAATCATGTTCTCTTCATTAAAAGAAATTAGCAATAAAGGCAAATAGGCCCTACTCTATTTGGACACTGTAAGAATCCTGTCCTTCAGTTCAGTTAGAAAATGGAAGAAATTCTAAGGCATAACAGGGCTGAGAAGAACACTGGTGACTTGGTTCTCAGAGTAACCGAAACTCTCAAAACGAAAATGTGAAGCAAGAAGGTTTCAGACCACAAATCCAAATCCTGAATTTGCTCAGCCTGAGTTTTCTAGCACTGGTCACACTGTGCTTGTTCAATAATTGCTTAACCAAAGTCAGACATCTTCTTCTGCACTATCCTGCATTGTGCTGCTCCTCTCTGCTCCTCCATGCATACCACGCACGTACAACTTCCAGAAAATCAGTAAACTTCTCTCAATAAGTACATGCAGCTTGTTCTGGTAGCTCTAGTGAGTGACCATTTAAAAGTCCACATCTGCCCAGATATGAAACAAAAGGCATACTCTGTGATGCAAATGATAAGCCACTGAGAACTGGAACCCAACAATTTCAGCAATTCCCTATTCAGGCCAGAATACTCCTTTGGAAATGTAGATCACGTTGAGTGTGACAGGGGGTGAACAATTACACTAGAGTTGGGATGACTCATTTAAATAGCATAATTCGAATATCTTGTTCATCTTGCAATATAATCAAACTCCTGAGGGGTTGCTACACTCCTTGTAGGAAAGAAAACAAAGTGACAAAGGGGAAAAATGCAGAGAAATCACATTGCCTGGTGGGCGGGTAGCAGAGGTTGCAGAGAGTCAGATGAGCAGGAGGCTGGCCTGCCTCAACCTTGCAGCCCCCATCAGCCTTCACAGAGCAAATAGCGAGATGCCCCTCCCCTCTCCCCAGAGAGATCGGTTGGTCCCCACTGACAGCTCGCACTCTGCCTGAAAGACACATGAATGCTGGATCAGTCATTCCATCATCAAGATGTGCCGAGTACCTACTATGTGGCAGTGAGAGCGCAAAATGAAGACAAAATTTCTCCCCCTGCAAGAAGCTCTCACGATAGTAGGGAAGACAAAACAGTGTGACTAGTGCTAGAACAGAGGTGTAGAACAGACACTTCAGAGACAGTGATTTCTGTTTGAGGGAACCAATGCAGACCTCACAGGACACATGTCTAAAATGTCTTGAAAGATGAGTAGAATCCCCTAGATGAGCAAGGAGTGTCCAAGCCTCAGAAACAAGGCAACCGGTGAAATTGTAAGGGGTTGGGAGTGGTCTGGGATGGGTGAGGCATTTGAGGTGGGGGATTGGTCTTTCCATTTATGCCCAGCCTCAAGCTGCCTTCCCTGCCTTCTCTCCTCCCACAATGTAGGCACATCCCTGAACAGTGCTCCAATTAATCCTACTTTCCTCCCTCAATGTGTGTCTGGCTCTCTCTGCCTCAGGTATCCCCCACTTTGGTCCCCTGCTCTACCAGGACCCTTCAGCTCTCTGGGAAGCCTCCTCACATTCCTAGGCAGACCCAGGTGCTTGTCCCTTTGCACCTCTGCTGTGCCACTTGGTAAGATGTGTCTCTACTTCACAAAGATGGAGACATAGTCACTGCCTTTAGGAAACCCGGGAACCCAGAGCCTTAAAATATAAAGCAGGATGCATGAGTGAGTAAACACTGCAAGTCCTAAGTTGCCTCCTTTTGTAAAAGTCTCCAGTGACTGAAGGCCACAGACAAGAGTGCTCCTTTGTAGTTTTGCCCTTCATTTCTTCCAGTTCCAGCGTTCCTTACTGCATTGTTCCAGTCTATGACCCCAAGTTTGTTTCATCTCTTTAATCTTCCATTTAGAGGGTTGCTCATTCTTTTCCTGCCCCATAATCAATTATCTTGAGAATTGACAAAATAGCAAGAGAGGGCACAGGCTTCAGACATAACTGGGCCAGAATCCCAGCTGCAGTAACCTGATGACTTGCTGTGAGGATTTAAGGATATGACAACATTGCTCTGTGCCAAGGCACAGCACATGCTCAATATGCTACCACCCTGTGACTGTTGATTATTAGCCTTGGGGACATCCATCACTATACCCTTCTCCAAGCTTCTGTCTGTGGGTCTAGTTCAGCCTGTTTATCCCTTATCCCTCAGCAAGAGCAACAGACCCTACAACCATGGAAACTCACAAGAGTCACAAATGAGGTAATGGCTTTAAAAGAGGGGCAGCATTTGGACTATAGCTCTAAAAGGAAGGTGGCATACCAACAAGCAGAATATGGTAAATAAAGATAGAGATAGGAACGCGCCTATTTTGTTCATGCATGGGACTACTTTAGCATTTCTTCCATCTTGGAATTGAACTGGAGAACAGTGTTCTTACATGCCCAAAGAACTCAAGAAAAAATATCTGAATTTGGGGCTCCATGGCAGACATGTTAGCGATCAGGACAGAGTTTGAGCCCATCACGTATAGTTTGGGAAACCACAAGTTTTGTGTATGGAGGGAAGTGGTAAGAGTTAGGATGAAAGAATGTTTTAGGGTGATTATAGGCAGGCTGCATTGGAAAGGACAGAAACCAAAGGCAGTGGCTGTCCTAAGGGGTGATTCTCTCGTCACAGTAAGCACACTGGTCACAAATTCAGAAGCCCTGCACTACAAAATCTGCAATAAATGAGACCAGTGACTTCAGTTGGAACTTCAATAGACTCATCTGAAAATGAGAGGCTTGACTTTCACATGGAGTTTTCCAATTTCAAATACCAGCTGATCATTTCTCAGAATTACAAAACCTTAGGAAAAATACAGATTTTTTGGATGTCTTCACTTCTCTCATCAGTAAAACGAAGGCAAGAGAAAAATGTGTCGATACAAAAATACAGTACCAACAATCACAGCTGGCACACAGTAGGAATTTTAAAAGGAAAAGAAATAGAAAAATGGTGGCTGTCAAAAGTCTTTCCAACTCAAAAAGAATTCCAGTACTTTGTAATTGCAGAAATGACCATTTAGCAAAACATTTCTGGAACCCAACTGGGTTATTCTGGGATACAACATGAACATTTCTTTCTGACCCATTTTTTCAAAAACATTGAATACATAATGATCCTTTCCGGATACATGTCTTCAGAAAATGTAACTATAATAGGAAGATAGAAGACTAATTGTAAAATTCCTGAGAGCAATAAAACTCAATAAGTCTGGTTTCTAACTCAGATTTAACCTGCATTTCCAAGAGGCAGGACTATGGAACAGGTATTGCAGGAGCACCACTGGTTTCTGCATGGAGAATCTGGAAAGCAAGCAGGCCACAAAACTATAGTCAGGGACTTGCCAAAGTCAAATAAACCTCAGATGTCCCAAAATTTTGTCTGCGACAAATCAGTTTGTATCCCTTCCAGAAGCTGTGACCCAAAACTCATGACTTATTTTGAGACCCTGAATATAAAGTCCTGCTTTGGTTCTTAAAAGAAATCCGGGAGTTTCTATCCCCACTCCACCCTTGCACGTGGCTACCAGTAGAAAAAGATTCATCACACTGCACTTGAATTTCCAGATGACTGTCTTCTCAGAGATTGAAGGTGAGGATGTGTCTTCTTCACTCTTCTCACCCCTGTGCCTCCTATAAAACAGTTACCACACCTGCTATATCTTCAACCCCTGTCTTCCAGGCAGCCAACACCAAAGTGCACATTCTAATGATTACATTTACTGTCTCCCAAAGGACTGGAGAGAAAAAAATATCTGAAATAAGTAGGTGGATGAGTATTCACATCCCATGTCCTTCTTTCTTCCCAGAATACCCTTTCCTCTCATTTTTGAGACTTCTCAAGTGCCCTCTGGAAGCATTTCCCTATTGACCCCCACTCAATTCTGACTACTTCTTGCCACTACTATTTCTTAGCTCTTATGCACTTACAGAGTTTAGAGGAATTGTCCTCTCTTTTCACTCTGAAGCATCTGCTGCACTGAGCAGGTTCTCTAGGCTCTCTCTTTTGGCTCTCCCATCTGCTGTCTGCTAAGAGAGCCCTTTGCTTGCCAAGACATCCTCCCCCTGCCTTCCTGTCCCACAGAGATGCATCTCAGTGGTGGACAGAGCAGAGCTGGGTCAGAGATTCTCACCTGACTATTCATAATCATTGACAGAGGGGGGAAAAAAACCCAGATGGGTATGTGCATATATTGTTTTCTGCATGGAAACAGATCACAAGGAACTATTAGGAGCATTTGAATTTGGGAAGAAGGACTGAAAGTAGGTGGAGATTTCATTATACTGTCTGAATTTTTACTTTGGCCATACATGTTATTAAATTTTTTTTAATAGGAAAATTTACATGCTCAGGATCTCCTCTAGCAATTATTTGGAATGGGTTTCAGCATTTGTATTTTATTTAGAGTTCGGGGTGATTTTAATGCAAAGACAGATTTGGGACCCACACAATTAGGGAAAGATGTATGTGTTTGTGTGTGTGTGTGTGTGTGTGTGTGTGTGTGTGTGTGTGTGTGTTTAAGAGAGAGAGAGAGAGAGATTGCATGTGTGAGGGTGTGTGGATCAGATTACATAGGCAAAAAAAAAAAGTCCTAGGCCCCAGTGTGCCTCTGTAGAAGTTTCTCCTGAAGTCAGGCCAGACAGTGGGCTCAAGCAGTTGCCTTCCCCCAAGGAAAGTCCAGGATAGAGGGCAGGTGACAAATGGTGTGTATCTGGGACTTGGAAGCCAGACAGTCCAGGCTCTGGCTAAAACTATGACTATGTGACTTTGGGCACGTCTCTGCCACTGTTTCCCCATATAGTGTTGTATGACAATGACATGTTGCTGTATCCAGGGTCCTTAGAGTCAGACTGGTATGGACAAATACAATGTAATCACTAACTGTTGGCACAATAGGGAAAGCAGGTACCTCTCTTACCATTCAGGTTGAAATCAGGTTATTCTCCTCCTTCGGCTCTGCCCCGGCAGTGACCTATTTCTGATTTTATGGAATCTCTCCAGAATGTCATTATTTATGGGCCTGTCTGAACTTCTGGGACATTTAGTGCCCCAGAGGAGGAGCTGCATCTCATTATTTGTTTTTGTTTTTTTTTTTCTTGCACAGAGAGCAGTGGACTTAGTGTACCTGCAAATCATACCAAGGAAGGAGTTGCTTAATTAAGAAGTCCAACCTTCCTTGCGAGTAATGCTGAATGGCGGGAAGATAAACTACAACAGAGTAGTAGGGATAGATGTTCCCAGAGTAGAGATGCCAGTCCCCATTGCAGAAGCCATTTTAACTTCCTCCAGTGGCCACCACTTTGCCTCTGTCTCTCTTTCTCGACAGCCAGTTATATCTCAAATGTATAAAGGACTAAATATTAGTTTTTTATTAAACTGAAAAGCCTAGTTGACATTCCCTGAGTCCTCTTTTGAGATCCTGAATAGGGACACACCCTGTCCCTGTCTCTGTCTCTCTGTCTCTCTCACACACACCCCCCACTACACTTCTCCCCTTACAGTATTACTCAATTACCACTTCTTCCATTTTCTAAGTAGAAAAATAGAGATGTACATCTTACATAATTCAGCTGGGGCTTTTTCTTCCAGAAAGTCATCCCTGACCTAGCCATGCTTGAACATCTCCTCCTCTTCTTCCAAGAACTCATGGCACTCACCTCCCTCAAAGCTTCCAGCATTTTCCCATCTCAGGCTGAGATTTCAAATCTCCTCTTAGGTGGGGCTCCTTGGCATTGAGCCTTTTCTCCTGTGTTACACACTCCCAGAATTCCATGTATTTCTTGGCACATAAGGGGAGTGCAATAAACGTCTGCTGAGTCACTTTCCTGTTCCCTTCTGACCCCAGCTGACATTCTCTGAGACCCCTGTGGAAAGTAAATGAGGTATTAACTTGGTGTATAGTCTCCATATCAAGGGAAGTGGAGATGGAAACAGTTTTATCTCTAAAGGAAGACTTTGTATATTTGTTTTATTTATGCATACAAGAACAGGGGTGTAGGCCAGAAGTGCGGGGGGTGAAAAGATTCACCAGAGACATTGTGGGGAGCAGAACTGGCAGAATGACTGAAATTTATTGCTGAGGGGAGCAGCAGACAAGACAGAAGAAGTCTATGGTGCCAGGGATCAAACTTATGCTGCAGTGGCTGGTGATCACTTGATAGCGCTGAGACTTTAACCCCTGCACTGGCAGGGAGGTCCCCTCTAAGGGAAGACTTTTTAGTATGAAAGGAATAGGATAATAGGATGTGTATTGGTTCTAAAATTCTAGATAATTACACTTTATCAGCAGCGTGGCCCTTTGTTGTTTATTAAAACTGAGTTGGAATAACCTTGCTACCTACTGTTACTATTAATAATGTGTTCACCTTATCACATTACAAATTGTACTATGAAAACTGAGTGCCAACACAAGGGAACAGTGATAGGACAAAGCTACCTTACTCTGTTGATAAGAGAGCTGACTTCCGCTGCACCTAAATTAGCTCCCTTCCAGGCATGCGAAAAAACTGCAACCTCTCAGCCCCAAGCTGCCTCCACACACTCCAGCAGTCAAAGAAACCAGTGAGTACTTGCTGCCAAGTGCTGCCCCGACTTCCTGAGGAATTGGCTTCAATCTGCACCGTGGCCAGCAGTTCGCATTCAGAACAACCAGGAGGTCTTTCAAAGACAGGGCCGTGGTCCAATCAACACCATTTTTGGTTTTTATAAGGGCATCTTCCCATAGTTTCCATTTTTGTTTTCAAAACCACAGTTGTAAATAGGGCATGGTCCTTACTTATGTGATCTTATCTCAATCTGTGTGAACTCTGAATTCTTCTGAACCAAGAATAGGCATGAGAGTGTGGAGGTGTGAGCCTCTCACTAGAAACACCCAGGGCTCCCCACAAGGATGTTAACTGCCTTCTTCTGATTTATGTGCTTTGTGAGTGTATATAACTACAACAGTGGGAAGGAGGTTTCCATCCACAGTTCACTAGCACAGTTTTGGTGTGTTCAGCCTCCAATAGGAATTAGGGCAACCGAGTCCAGCAATTCATGGCAGGACCCTAAGGGAAATCTCTCCTCCAGGTTTTTTTTTTTTTTTTTTGCCTACAAAAGCCCAGTTGCACACTGAAACTAATAAGGGTATGGTTTAACTTTCTAAAACAGCCTCTGATTCTTTCTGGGAAAACCCAATCCAAAGACCCAAACTGATTTTCTTCACTTCATATGTAAATTGCTTACACACACACACACACACACACACACACACACACACACACACACACAGTAGAGAAATATTGTCAGGTAAATGGTGGCGTCTCTAACGTCCAAGTTCAGCACCACTTTTTAACTTTCCATCACCAGGCCTTATCTTTCCAGAAAACAGATGAAAAGGTCTGAGGGAGGGAAGTGATCATAGAGACGGGAATGGCTTTTATTAAAAGTGTTTTCCCAGACCTTAACTAAACCTCATCCACTTTTGTCAGTCAGGGCCGACAGTTGAGAGCAATAGTAGAGGAGGTAATTGCATGTATCAGTCAACAGCTTTTGTCCCGTGGCCGCTGAGAATTACAGTAAAACGGGCACAGGAAAACAGCATACTGGATTAAAGGCAAAAAAGATCTTTCTCCAGTTTCTCCCTGCTCACCAGCTGTTATGTTCGGCTGTGGAGACAGAAGCAGCAATAATATCTGGGGGAAATCTAGCCTACCACAGTCTGGGTTGGGTTTTTTTTCCCCTCCTTCTGTTTTCCCTCTGCCTTGCAACTGATTAATCTTTGACTTTAAAGAGAAAGTTTTTTAAAAATCATTCTGCCTTTCCATGGCAACTAAATTATTAACCATATATATGAATATTTCTCCCATTAAATGACACGAACACCCAAACCTCATCATTTCTTAGACTGACTATAAAACAACCACTCAGAGTCTTTGATGTCACTTGGCAGCTGGAACTAGTAGTTGCTTAAGTAAATGGTTGGCAACACAGATACATTTTATGTATGGCTGATTTCAAATCACACCAAGAAATAGCCTAATGGGTATGAAATTCACCCAGGTAAGTTGGAGGAAGAGATGAGAGAAAAGAACAGCCCATCGCTATGCAACAGGCACAAATCCCACTAGATAGTCATTGTCTATAGGTCTTTGGTGTCTGGAGCTCCAGGGACCAAAGACCCATCCTTTTACTCCAATGTTATAGGAATAACCTCTTTTCTCAACCACCATGGCTAACACTGTCCAAAAAGCCACCAGAAACTTTGGACATGAAAGAGGTAAGGAGGTTCATTCTTAGCCTAAGTCAAAGGTATCTGAGAAGGAGGACTGACTGACCTGGAATGGAGAGCAATGACTCCAGGGAGATAACAGGGGCCAGAAAGCAGTGACCCCATATCACTTCTGAGTGAGCTTGTAAAACAAAGTGCAGAGGCAAATTTGGCCAGCTTGACCATGATTGACAGAGGCCACCTGGGACACAATATCACTGTGGACCTTGGTAAAGTTGTTACTGTTGATGATTTTGATCCTTAGTTAGTTGGAATCCTACGGCACATCAGGGAAGCCAAGGTCAACTTCATAATGCAACAGCAAGAGTTATTCTATTTTATAGATCAAGAAACCAGGGTTAAGAGAGGTTAGGCAATTCAACCAAGTTAATCGAGCCAATGAGTAACATAGAAAAAAGTCAAACTCAGTTCTGTCTCTTCCAAAACTTCTCATGCCACCACAACCATCACAGACTGGGGCAGCTGCATATTTAGCAGTAACTAATTATGGACAGCAGAGATGTAGGGAGCTATAGGATAAACCTGTAACATACCCCTGGGGTATCAAGCTTACTCAAGTACTGATGGATGTTAAAAGGAACATGATTAAATAATTGCATTGATCAATATTCTAAAGTACATTTTTTTCACATTGCATTCAATGGCTATATTAGAAAGCAGGGCACAATATTTGTATATTTTTATAAGATTGAATAATGAATTAATATAATTCAAAATCAAACATAAAAATGATACAAAGTTTCTCTCTTATCTCCAAAGTTCAATTTCCAATTACCCTCTCTCAGTAATCAAATTACTATTTTATAAGTATACATATACATAAAATTGAAAGTATCTAGTCATTTTTTATTTTTTAACACAAATAGTAGCCCACTGGACTTAATTTTCTGCAGTTTGCTCTATTTCATTAAACAAGAAATCTTGGGGCCTCCCCGGTGGCGCAGCGGTTGAGCGCTGGGTTGAGAAGCTGCCCACAGCCTCTGCAGCGCCGGTTCGATCCCTGGCTGATCCCGGGCTGCTCCCCGACCACCGGAGGAGGGTCCCACATGGCGTGCAGACCTCTCCTGCCGCCCGCTGCTCCCCTCAGCAGTGTACTTCGGTCCTTCTGCCTGCTCTGCTCCCCGCTCTGGTGAATTCTCTCACCCTCCCGCGCTTCTGACTGTACCCAGTGCTTGTATAAATAAATAAATATTTAAAAAAAAAAAAGATTTCACTTGTTAAAAAAAAAAAAAACAAGAAATCTTGAAAATCATATACATATGAACAAAGTACTCCCTCATTCTTGATTACAGCTGTTAGTATTTCATTAATGATTAAATTGATTAATATTATTTAAACAATCTTATTCATGGACTTTCAAACTGTTCTGAAAACTTTGCTGCTGTAAACAATGGCTCAGTGAATAATCTTTTACATGAATCATCTCACACATTTGAGAATATATATGTGGGATACAGTGACACTGCTATATCAAAAGGCATACACATGTAAAATTTTGATAGGTACTAATATCTCCTACAGAAGTTGTACCAATTGGCAGTGAGTTATTTCTCAGGTTGTCAAACTTTTACATTTGCCAATCTGATGCTTTAGGTGAAAATTTGCCTTAGTGTACTTTATATTCCACTTCTTATGAGTGGAGTGAAGCATCATTTCACATTCATTTCTGCAAACTGTCCAATCCTTTCCTTACTTGACCCAAAAATTCTGCTACTGGGAATTTTATACACACTCCTGGAAAAAGTTACATACAAGGTTATTTATGTGAGTGTAAGATTAAAAACCTAATATTTTATCAGCTTAGTTATATATAAATAAAGTGTGGTTTATCCATAAAATGGAATAATATGTAGTTATTTAAAAAGACTGGGCAAACTCATTATATACTATGTAAAAATTCTTCAACATATAGCACTAAGTAGAAAATACATTTCCCACTAAAGATATTGGAAGCAGAGGAAGGGGAAACATGTCTTTATTTGTGCATATATTAAAAAACAACCCCGGGAGCCTCCTGGTGTCACAAGGGGTTGCCTCAGCGCTATCAAGCTGTCGTCAGTCACTGTGACATGAGTTCGATCCCCTGCCAGCCAGTGAGCTAACTACCCCACATGGCACAGCAGACCTCTCCTGTCTTGCCAACTGCTCCCCTCAGCAGCGTACTTTCAGTAATCTACCTATTCTGGTCCCCACCCTGTCTCTGGTAAATCCCTGCACATCTGGCTTAGACCCCAGCTCTTGTATGCATAAATAAATAAAAATAAATCTATTAAAAAAACTCTGGGTGGAGACACAATAAAATAATTATATTTGGTTGCCAATGGGAAGAGGAAATGGCTAGCTGGCATATTCTCTTTTGTACCTTTTTGATCATATAAATCTACTACTTATTCAAAATTCCCCTGTTCTTGAATAGCTTATAGCCAAAACAGATAAATGTGTGCATGGTGAGGAAAAGCTCATTAACAATATCCTTAAAAAAATTACATGAAGTTGTGATGCAAGAAATCTGAAACTACTAATAAAATTAATGAAAAGTGTGTTAAACTATAACTGACTTTTTTTTCTGGCCCTCAAAGCTGAAATTGCTCATAA